TTGGTAAAATTCGTAGTTATGTTGCTGTTACTATGCTATTAATTAAATGTGGAGTTTTAATTTGATCTATATTCTTTTGATTGCAACAATAATAACTAATCGTGGATCACATTTCTAATTAATAAACTCTCACCAATTGGTTCCGTATATTCTAAATCAAGGCCATTGAATCGAAATGCTCGACCCCATATGCTAACATGCCACTTTTAATAGTCACTTACAGTTACTCTTCCATGAACTCTGTTCCTTAACAAGTTGTTGTTAATCCTTTCTACTTGCTCTCAGTGTAGCCAGAAACAAATGAAAGTAGAGATGAGATAATTGCCCATCTAATTAAAACAAGAAGACCACAATATCCGAACATTGGACACTCCAGGTCTTTCAGAGGTAAGGAAAGAACCCGACGCCATTAAACCATAAGTAACCGTTAAATGCCAAAAAATTTCGCTATTTTTGTATTCAAATGCTTCGGCGTGCATAGAACTTAAACACTTCTTACTCTGGTTTGACAATAGCAACGGATATTCCGCCACATCTAAACCAATTTAAGCATTTTATTTCCTAATAACAAGAAAAAAGGAATAGAAAAGGAGAGCATTTACGCAATTCACAAATCCTCCTTTTATATATTTAATACAATTATTATGTTTTACAAAAATAGTAGTGACAGAAAAATAGAGACACGTTTAAATGTTCTCTCCATTCGGGTGAGAGAATAGAACTTTCTAGAGTTGGATCACCTCGCCTTGAATTTTGACTGGACCCCTGGTGGGTTCGTCCATCCCCTCAATCATTGCTTCGTGCGATTTGGAAGAGAAGATGAGTCTTGCATAGCTCCCGCCCGAAGCACTACTTGGACGTGCTGCCAGTCCTGGATTCACACAGACAACCCCGTCCACGTCCTAGATGAAAGCGAAAGTTTGCAATACTACTTAAAAATAAATAAGTAGTGGTAGAAATTTAAAAAAGGACGGATCGGTCGTCTAAAGCTCTTTCATTTGGCACAGATATAGCTAGGACTCCGCTTGCCCATATAATATAATGTATACTATCTTTATACATAAGTTGACATTTTATTATTAACAAATAACACACAGAAACGGCGAGATCAACCAAGAAATTTAAATATTTGAACCTAGGAGAGTAACGATAGATAGTGGGGTTTAGAGAGGAGGCGAGAAATAAGGTAAGAAATAGGCCATTGGTGAGTTGACATTCAGGCATTAGAAAGGCTAGCATGTTCACTAGCTCATGTCAAGTGAGTTAACACATACGTATTACATCTCACAGGTCACGAGAAAGATGATGACTGGTGGATAGACCAATTTGCCGATGACCAATCACCAGGGCTAATCCCTTTCAACTAGAAGGGTGGTAAAATATGATATTCTTGCAAGAGCAGCTGAAGAATACGTCCCCCCCCCCTAGCTATTGCATTCAAGTGTTTGTGATTACTATTCTATACAAAGATGATTATATTCTTACGTCTTTCTAATATAAATAACGGAAGCCAATCAACTAAGCGGCAATGCCACTACTCTATCCACTAGTAACATGTACTCAAAATAAGTCTTCTCGGCTTTAAGTGTTTAGAACCTCAGCGCTAACGTCCCAGCTGATTAAACTTACTGTGAACACGAGGAAAGTGGCATACAGTAACTCTTACAAATAACTCAACAAATCTTTAACCACATAAAGTAACTCAGCCCAAATGGAGGGATGATGCTTGCAGTGTCAATACAGATGTCCACAGCACTTACCACTGTACTTAGGGAATAAAGAAGGGTGTTAATGAACATGAACAGAACTTGGGTGGTCTTGCCTTAATAAAGTATTTCAGTCTCGACGGGAAGACAACACAATGTGGTGAATTACTCGAAGGTAAGCGAGCACGCTCCCACCATAGGGGATAGTCCAAAGGTAATTCTTCAGCAGGTGGATGTACAGGATAGTATGTGCCCGAAGCCAAGATGTGTCGACACAGCCGAGAAAGCCGATCACCCGTGCAACTAAACGCATAGAAATCAGGTGGTAGAAGTAATGTATAAGAAAGATAAATGGTCTAAGGAGTGAAACAAGCATACTTTGCGCTAATTTCCTCTGAGCTCATCTGGAAAAGAATATCAGGGGAAGAAACCCCTATATAATAAGGACCAATCTTGATTGTACACGGATCCCAAACGAAAATCACGTTCGCATACCAAGCAGCCTAAGGAAAAAATACAACGAAGAGAGCAAAAAACATATAGATTTCAACACAATTAAATCAGTTTATTACAATCGCGCCTTACCACATCAGGATTCTTAATTGCCCAAGCTGGTTTTGAAATTGGTGGAGTTGGATAGACAGGATTTCCGCAGACCTCTCGCCATGAGGAAACAACGATGAGTTTGATTTTAAGCAGATGGCACCACTCAGCCACTGTATTGAGACGAGTTTGGTAGAGTTCATCAAAAGTGGAATCGCAATACTCCTAAGATTAACAATAAGTTACCAACTTTTCACAATTACTTATAAGCGGAAACACAATTTACTTACTCCAATGAGAGGATGCGAAGAATCAACTAAAGCAGATAGTAGGATTAACACATGTGGCTTGTGTTCCTTAATGCTCTTTAAAAGTGACAATAGAGGCGCAATTTCGTGAGATGTGTTTGTTGTGAAGGGGCCGCAAGCTACAGCTACATGAAGATCCGGCTCGCCTGAAAATTAAGGAACAATATCACAATTGCTGGTGAAATTCAATTCAGTAAAAGTAATTCAAACACAGTAACTCACTGGAAGTGATATACTCGTCTTTCACATCAAAAACTGGGAGGACTATAGGCTTATAAAACTCAAAAGCAGTAAGTGATCTCCCATTGACATTAGAAGCCTTGAAAACTACCGGTTGACCGGCGTAAAGAGAATATTCTAAAGTCGAACTATTGGTAGTAACATCTAACATAACTTTGCCAAGATCTCCACCGCCAGCACGTCTAGTTCCAATGATGCATGCATTAGTGGTGTCTAAGCGCTGATCGACTGGAACAGCTTCCGGACAAACAGCAACTCGGCCAGCTACTATACTGGGTGTTTGAATTCTACTGTGAATTGGTCTAAGAGAAGAAGTGGGATGGCGTTTGGATTTATTTGCATCCTCCTGCAGCTGGGACCTTTGGGAAAGCTCGAGAACACTGGAAAGAGAAAACCGAGATTTTTGAGAGGAGGAAGAATATGCTTCTGGATTTGGTTCGAGAAGTGAAGAGGGAAGAAGCTCGACAATTCGCTTTACTTGCTCCCACGTCCACGAATCGAGGATTTCAGCTTTTGAAATAGCTCGTTGATACATAAATCTAGATGACGTTTTATCGGTAGTTTCTTGAAAGGTCTGAATTCTCCAAGTAAAAGACAAATTTGAAGCAGATGATTCCAACGTTTTATCATCGGATCGATTAGAGAACGTACAAAGCACCTTTTCAAACGGAGATTTTGGTGTATAATCTAAGTAAAAGTTAAATTATTCAAACGACTCAAATTACAAAGTGACGGAGAAATTAGAATAACTAACCTTCATTTGATGTGCTAATTTCATTGAGATTGAATGGTTTTAGGACAGACTTCGGAAACGATTTTCCCAAATATGAACTCATAATATCTGACTGTTCATCAAAATTTTTCATTGAAGTGCTAAATAAGAAGAAAATAAGTATTACAAATGAAAATTCACATTTCTTTTCTCATATCCTCTGGTAAAACATTTAGAGAAGCCGAGAGTTTGACTTCAGATACTTGTGAAGTCTTTGTACCTACGCTTGGAATAAGATTCTGGAAAATAGCTAATATCTAAAGTACCAACCTCTTTTTCAAACAGATCAATATCATTTCGACTGAGATAGTCCGATAAACCACGATTAAGTTTGAATGCAACATATTTTTCAACGAGAGTCGAGGTTGGGAGATCGTATTTAGTAGACAGGGCAGAAACTAAAACTAATCATCATGAAATATTAATATACATTGTTCGATTATTTCATCTTCTTTCACCGACAGACCGAAGGCACTCAAATCGTCCCTAATCTCGTCATAAACTGGATCACCAATCCCAAGCATATCACCAATAAATTCAATACGTTCACAGGATTTGTTTCAAGGCCCTTATTATAATAAATAAAAGTAATTTCATGTATTTTTGAGTTAAGCAGTTTATTTTAATTAATAAAAAATGAAAAAAATTTAAAATTTTCAAATGATTAATTTTCAATATTATTACACTTGCTATTTGAATTTATTTTGCCTAAATAAATTTTATTATATTTTTATTTAGTATTTATTTAGTATACTATAAATACTATACTAAACTATACTATATATATACTATATACTATAGTATATATACTATACTATATACTATACTATATACTATATACTATATACTATAGTATACTATATACTATAGTATACTATATATATACTATACTAAATTTTATGATTTTACAACTGCTAGTTTAAACGTTTATCTTTCTCGGTCTTTTTCAAAACCATATGGTGAGCATGTGGACTTTGTAATATTAGTCCTGCCTAATTGTTCATACCTGCTGATTTGTGCTGGTTTTTGTTTTTTTTTGTGGTAAGCCTGTCTTTTGATAGACTTTCTTGGGCATATTTGTTTAATTTTTTTTCGAATTTTTTATTTTTAATCAAATGGAGTCGTACGGCGTTTTCATTATTTCATTTATCCTTACTATCAATTAGCTAAATTTATTTTGCTTCTTCACGTTATTTTTTCATATTGCTGCATTGAACTTCTTTAATCGTGTTTCGTCTTTTTGTAATAGCTAATGCTCTTGACTTTATGGTCATATGTTTAATTTTCATGGTTTCGTCGTGAACTTCTTAAAATTATCCATATTGATAATGACTTGGGCCAATCAATGAGTCAAACCTGGCTTTTCATTTGGTTTATTCACGTCTGATAAATATATCTGAACAAAATTTTCGCTAACGGAAATAGTGCATTTATAGCTCTTCCACATATTAAAGAAGCTATGAAATCATTACTTTTTTATGATTTCTGTTGATCAGTATTGCTCGGCTTCAGTACTTCATACCTGATTAAGTTTTTCGAGTAGGGTTAGACACTGATGATATCAGATTGCCATTGGGCACTATTTGAAAATATCCATTTTGGATGAATTGGGATAAATCGGTAGTGCAAGATTGAAATTCCTTCAGTATTTCACACCTGGTCGAACTTGTTGTCGAGTGGGGTTGGACACTGATGATATCAGATTGCCATTGGGCACTATTTGAAAATATCCCATTTTGGATGAATTGGGATAAATCGGTAGTGCAAGATTGAAATTCCTTCAGTATTTCACACCTGGTCGAACTTGTTGTCGAGTGGGGTTGGACACTGATGATATCAGATTGCCATTGGGCACTATTTGAAAATATCCCATTTTGGATGAATTGGGATAAATCGGTAGTGCAAGATTGAAATTCCTTCAGTATTTCACACCTGGTCGAACTTGTTGTCGAGTGGGGTTGGACACTGATGATATCAGATTGCCATTGGGCACTATTTGAAAATATCCCATTTTGGATGAATTGGGATAAATCGGTAGTGCAAGATTGAAATTCCTTCAGTATTTCACACCTGGTCGAACTTGTTGTCGAGTGGGGTTGGACACTGATGATATCAGATTGCCATTGGGCACTATTTGAAAATATCCCATTTTGGATGAATTGGGATAAATCGGTAGTGCAAGATTGAAATTCCTTCAGTATTTCACACCTGGTCGAAATTGTTGTCTTATGGGGTTAGACACTGCTGTGAATTCCGAGTTACTTGGTGTCTGAAATCATTTTATCCAATTAGTTTCAAATTACACGTTGGTGATGAATTTTATTCAGTTTTGCCAGACTAAAGCTATCCTGATTAATGGTCATAATTTTTTTTCGATTATAGCAAGAGGACACCTAAAATGAGTAGGAAGTCAAAAGTCATGAAGCGCCGTCTTTTAGCAAAAAAGATGAAAAGAGCTTCCAGCACAAGTTCTGATAGTCCTGCCAAGCCCCAGGTACTTCGAATCAAAAATCCGGAGAAGAAGAAGTTTAAAAAGGAGGCACTTAACTCTTTTGAGGACAAATTAGTAACTGTGAAGAGTCGCCCTCAAACTGCTAAAATTAGTGATAAAACTTCTAAGAAACAGGTGGAAGACAAAAAGAAAATTGTGGCTCCGAAATCGAAAGCTAAAGGTGAATACCAAAAGCCAGCTCATAAAAAGCCCCTCCCAAGTACTGTGCAGTCTGCATCAACTGAAGGTGAGGTTTTCATTTTGTGCTGTTTTATTAGTAAAATTTGCTCCTTTGTATTTAAGTAGTAGCACGTCTGGTCTTTTCTTCTGTTGTTTGGTGTATATGTTATAAATATACTCCATGCAATAATTCACACGTAAGCGAATAATTTGGTGGTTTTAAATATTTTAATATGTGTTTTTAGGCTTGTTGTCCGTGGGAAGTTTTTTAAATGCTAATCATAGTCCTAGACTCTCTTGTACTTGTGCGTGTTTTGAATCCGCTTCAAAACACAGATGATTCATTGCAATGTCTCGCGGTAATAAATAAATATTGTAGCTAATTAAAATCTTTACTTTCCTACTCATTTCCTAATAGTTATCTTGTGATTTTGGATTCGATCCTATTATGCCCATCTATTAAATGGTCGAAATTTCTTGTTTCGATTGCCAGAATAGTTGTTATCAACTGCGTAGTGTTTTTCTTAACTTGGTATATTTAATTGCCTCATTTTTAAGTGTAATTTTTGTTTTCTATCTTTTTATCGCATTGCATTTAGTTTCACCCGGAAGTGACCTTTTAATTTGTCTTTATATTTTCGTATAGCCAATTCCACTTTGTAGCTAAATTCTGAAACATTTCGCTATTCTCATTTTCTTCTCGAAGAACTGATTTTTCTTTAGTTGTGAGTTTTCTTATGCCATAACCAAAAGACAGAATGATGAGGTTTCGTTCATATTGTAAAATATAAAAAAAGTTATTGTTAAATTCATTCTATTTACCTTTGTTTGACATGTCATAGAAAATGGAATCGATAATTTCAATCAATTAGTGGCTTATAACTGGGCCGTAATTGTACAAAGTTTGTCATTTTAGATACTTAATTCAGCCTTCATTCATTGTCTGATATTAAATAAAATTGTATTCAATTGGAATTGTAAAATAAATCGTAGTGCAAAAATTTCTTTTCCTGCCATGATTGAATTAGATTACTCCCCGGTGTAATGTACTTCCTTCATACTAAAATACATTTATGTACCTACTTTTAGTCACTTCAAAGAAGAAGCGCAGGCGTAGTCGTAAGCACAAGGCCAGTGTTCCCGCCAGTCAGTACGTATCAAACGCCCATCAATCCGCCACTAAACGAACCAGGGTCGAGTCAACAATTGTCCCCCGAAAGGGCACTTCAGCTTTTGAACCATCAACCAAGCGACTCAAACGCAAGGCCGAAGAGGAGGCTTCTAGTGACAGTGAACCCGAGCCTATTCATTCCGATTGGCGGCTGAATGACAGTGATGACAGCGAAGAGGAGGTGGAGAAAGATGTGAAATTATCTTTCGGGGATGATGACGAAGTGGATTTAGATACTTCAGAGGATGATATTGACGAAGACCCCATTGAAATCTCCCAAGGTTCTAGTGATGAGGAGGACAGTAGTGAGACTTCTGAAGACTCTGACGGATCGGATTTAGACTCCGGGGAAAATGATTCCCAAGACATGCTTGGTGAAGGTTAGTATATGGGTAGTTTATTGGTATTTATAAGTCGGTCTGTGGTCTTTGTATTTGCCTATTCACTCGTGCTTGTCATAAATACTAAGAGTAGTATACCCAATAACTCTCCTTCTCTTACCTTGTTTCTTTGAATTATTTTTATTAAAATAGTATTTGCGCCTTTTTTTATTGTTCTACTCGCCTCTACGATCTTATTCTTGGAATGTTTTTGCTTTTACTTTTCAACTTGTTTGTTTTTTTTGTATAAGATGGAATATTAAACCTTTTACTGAAAATTTCGCTCTTTAGAAGATTGCTTTTACCGTTTCCCTTTATCATCGATTTTTCAATTATTTCTTCTAAGTTGAAGATAGTTGTTCAACTTCCCGAATATGCCTAATGGATGTTGAATATCCGGAAAGTGATGATACTGATTATGATTTTGTTCCTTACAAAGTCTCCTTTGGTGAAGAAGGTTGGTTGTTAGGCTTTGAAAATCCGTTGTTTTCTTTTCATCAAATTTTCTATATATATGTATATATTTTTAAGTCGAGAGTGATTCATCATCTTCGAGTTACCTTGTGAACTTGAAGCATCGGGACAGTGATGAATCTGATGCTAATTGTATTCCTATGAATTTATCCACAGGTTGGTTGCTCGCCTATGTCGCTATGTTACGGTCCCAACTAGTAATGACACCATATTCGACTGTGCTATTCTATAACGCGATCATTTGCGTCAGTTTTATCATCTAGGGTAATACCAAAAGCGAAGAGAAGCGTGGTTGGCTGAGAGGTAACTATGCCCACTCAACTATCGTATATGGAGCCACCATAGATTTACAGTATCTCAGGTTACTCTAAGTCCATGCTGGTGTTTCTTATCAGTTGGTTACATCTCAACGGCCTTAATTAAGGTCATAATGCGTCTTTAGTTGAGTTTTCTTAACGTGTCATAAAACCATTGACAGGGTACTTTAATCAATATTACAGAATTTAGAGTACAGTCCTGCATCTTATCGGTGTAAATTCATATGAAAAATTGAACAAAATTTACAAAGTGGGGAATGGAGCGATTGAATTTAATTGAACTGGATTTAGGCTGGAAAGTTGGCTTTAATTCGGTTAAATGAATGGGAATTAAACGTTGTGAAAATCTCAAATTTAATTTCAGTAGTACTAAAACCTTCTTTCCAAAGCTTGGTAGTCTAAAGAGGGGTTAATTACACTGCGGGTGGGCGTGTTATTTCCATTCTTTCCATAGTATTAGGTCTTTGTCTGCATTCTTTAAGTCAGTTTGACTTCAAACTTATGCAGACAATTCCAAAGTTAGTCTAGGTGAAGATCGGGAGAGGAAAAGCGGTTAGTTGGATATGCTTTGTTTGTCATTGAATGATTTTCAAGACGGGTTATTTTCTTGCCAGTTTGCTTTTCATCGAGGCGTAATTTTTAGGATCTTGGCTATTTTCGTTTGGGTGCATTGTTTCGATGATTAAGACTTTAGTAAATAATCCATAGGGACTTCTGACACTTCGGAGGAGGAATCTAGTGATAGTTTAGAGGAAGGTTAGTAAGCCTCTATTTGCTACATTTTAGAGCTCTGTTTTTCCTAAACGCTTTTTTCGCTGCTTTTATTGTTAGATTACTTTTTTTATTCGCTTACCATCATCACACGTCCAATGAATAGTGCTGCCAAATGTTTAAGAAAGGAGAATTGGTTCAATTTGTGCTACAATCAAGGAGTCTCTTTGTGGCTGCTCCTATTTTACACTGTAAAAAATCCCAAACAAATTGTTAGATGTCACATTGTAGGCTTATTTTATCTTCCATCGTGCTGCGTACTAAGTTTGCTGTTTAGCCACCGTTATCCTTTTCCTTCAATTGATTTTTTCCCTTATTTTTTATATTTATGCTTATTTATTAAGATATAATATAATATAAGAATATAATATGTTGGCATGGGAATAGTGAAATGGAAAATCATAGCAGTCAGATATTGCACTGGATTTCCTTTTAACTGAGCTATTCCGAGGGATTATTAATCATGTACTATGGCAGTCTCGAACTTAACACCTCTGCTTCGATTTCACTTAAAGGGAGAATTTGGACGTACATTTTGAATCAGGACCACCTGGAAAGCGATGATCCGGAGGATTTAACTTTCATTTGTGTGGAATCCTCCTCAGATGAAGAGAGTTAGTTGCTATCTACGAAAGCAGCTCTTTTGTGGCTTGCTGCTATTATTTTATTTTTGCTCACAGTTCTCTTGGCTTATAAAACGCCAAGACCACTTTGTGCATGTCTGTTAAGGGGGGGGGGGGCTTAATAGGAGACCCATTTACCCTCTAACTGTCCACCTTTACCACGCAACAAAGTAGGAGGTGGCGCCGAAGTCGAGAGCTGAATTGATTAAGAAAATCAGAGATTATAGGCGCTAATCGTTTGCTTCGTTGTTGTGCTCTTTAAGTTAAAAGGTAGCTGTGGATTTAGAGTTCTTTCAAAGATATAAACAATCAGAATAAAGGCTTTAGAGGTTTGCTTAAGGTACCACTCTTAATGTGACGTAAAATGGGTCATTAACCCTGATGTAAGCATTGAACATAGTTTGATCAAGGTATCTCTTTTCCACAGTCTCTATTCAATTTCCTTTGATTATCAATGCAATGTTTTTTGATAAAGGGGGAGGGGAGGGGGGTTTGAAGGGGGTTGTGCTCTGTTGCATTTTTCATCGAATCTAAGTTCCCTAAGGTTTTGGTTATCTATAATCGTATTCATCGCTTTGATTTTTAATATTTTAGCAAATTCCTCAGAGACTTCTGATACCTCGGAGGAGGAATCTAGCGAGGACTCAGAGGAAACATCTACCGACGAAGGTTAGTGAACTTTTATCTGTTGCATTTTGGAAGTCTGCGTTCCTTACCGATAGTTTACTATCGGTGTTTTTTGAAAGTCCGTACATCCGAATAAGCACCCGTCCCAACTATCGTTTCATGAAATGGAATTTTCGTTTAACCGCCCTAGGCTTATTTTTGGTAAACCCCGGTAATACTATTCTTAGCTTTTTACTTTCAGTGAATGGTTTGGCAAACCGATTTGAACGTGAGGAACACTGATTTTGTTGATATTGCGAAACATGGTTTCGCTGTTGACATTAAATTAACAGTTTCGCACCTCATTCACTTGCCAACTGGATTTACGAATTTGGTGACTCGAGCCAATTGATAATTGCCTTGGTGTCTTTTTATGGGCTTTCTGTTTCTTATTACACAATGACTCGAAATATTACTATTATTTCAAATTGCAGACTTTATGATATTTATCATTAGCTTTCCCCCTGGGGGGGGGGGGGGGTACATAATAGCAGTTCCATTAGCTGTCTTGCTTCCCAGTATCTCTGGGTTTCCGTCGTCGTCTTTAGGGATGGACACCGAATCAGGTGGGTTTTCTCCATTTCCACCTGTAGGATACATAGAGGGCATGTGGGTTGAGTTTATACTCCCAATCTCAGAGGGCATGTGGGTTGAGTGTATACTCCCAGTCTGTGAAAGGGCATATGGGTTGAGTGTATACTCCCAATCTGTGAAGGGGGCATGTGGGTTGAGTGTATACTCCCAATCTGTGAAGGTCCATGTGGGTTGAGTGTATACTCCCAATCTGTGAAGGTGTACATGTGGGTTGAGTTTATACTCCCAATCTGTGAAGGCGTTTTGCCAGACAATCCTGTTCGGTACGTAGCCTAAATTCAGCAACGGCTTCGATTCTTGGTCAGTCGGCTATGTCGGAGTGTGCTACTGTCCACTGTTCCTCCTTTATTCGAACTTTAAGTTTGTTGCACCTTGAGGTCTTGAATTCTCTCCTTTCGAGCTTTAATTTCGTTGCACATTGAGGTCGGGAATTCTTTTCTGATTAAGGCCTTCATTGTTGTCCTTGAATGTAATTCTCTCCTGATTAAGGCCTTCATTGTGTGGAAAGACATCGGCCGATCCATGCATAGCAAAATCGTTGTCCCCTTCTTAGTAAGTGCGTCAGCAAGCTCATTGCCTTTAATGCCACTGACCAGGAATTCATTGTAGGACCACTGTTTTGTTTTTTTCTCTCAGCAGCTGATAGAGATATTTACATTCGAATGTCTCAGCTGTTTTGGGTGACTATGACTCGAAATAAGCTTTAAGAGATTGATGGAGAGTTTTATATTTTCCTAACGCGAATTTTTTTCGTAAAGATCTTATTCCCTACTATCATTCTCAGGTGTGCTTGCTCGTTTTTCCATATATATTTATAATTTAAAAGAGCAAAATACCTGTTGACCATTCCCCTCCCACACCCACCCTTAATTTTCTCTATTCGTAGAAAAATCAGAAGAATCCACTGTGGTTCATTGTGTATACAGGGAGATTTTTGATTGTTTTGAATTGTGACAAAATCGCCTGTTGATGTTCCCCATTTATTCCCGTACCATTGTTGTTTTTATAAGTATATAGTTCTCATTTTCTCTTTTATTTAGAATGTTGAAAATACGCTCTACTTATGTGTTTTTAGTAGAAGGGGATATCGCATGCTTGCAAAAGTAAAACAATTTGCACCAACTGTTAGTTCAAAGCAGGGTTGAAGCGCTCCGTTAGGTTGTAGCCGTAAACCAATTATGGTTCTTTGTAGAAATCAAGATTGAATGGAAGAGTGTAAGGACTTATAAGAGTAAAGAGGGTAGAAAGATACACCAAGAAGTATTACTTTTTTGCACGGAAGGGAAGCAACCATCTTGTCATAATGACTGTCTCTGTCAGTTGAAAATTATCGCCAAGTCACTCTGTGCGTTTGCATGTGTCACCGCTTACTATATGATGGTGTTTCTAGTTTGGTTTACTTCCTTTTGTTAGTGGAAACAGGTTCTGTGGCTCACACACATGGAAGTCGAAGTAGTAGGGGTCTTAAGAAACTTAAAACCATCACACTTGCTTTGATGTTTTCATTATAGATGACTCGCGGGAATATGATTTGAGTGGCATTATCAGTAAAATGGAAGATTCTATAACCGAAAAAGGTACGCAAATGTCACTGAAATATAAGCTCTATCGCTCTCTGTTCCCCCCCCCCCCTCCCTCGATGTTCTTATTAATTTACTATTCATTAAACAAAGCTAATAATTATTTAAATCAATTTTCTGAGATTTTATTTAAGATAGTTATTCCTTGTTGAAATCTCCCGATCTGTCTAATTTAACAGGCTGGTTCGAAGTGTTATTTTAAAAGTCTTAGGGTTACCTTTTCTTGCGAATTTCACCTGGTAATGCTGTTTGCATCATGGTGTTAAGTTGCTTGGAGAAGGACTATTCTAATTTCTCTTGATCTTCCAAACTCGATTTGTCATTGGCTGTTATCTCAATTAACTTTTAGCCATGAATAGTACCGACTTCTTAAAATATATATTCAGCGAGGATGATGATTTGGTGTAGAGCTCAGACAAGGAGGGTTCGCGTATATTGTAAAAGAATACGTCGGTTAAAAATAAGCTCTCAAATTTGTGATTGCTGTTTTCTCCTCAGCAACCCTAATGGCTAATATTCTGTATACCCTTGTTAAATCGAGCTCTCCTGAGAAGCTTTCACTTCTGAAGTTAAGCGCACTTCAAGGATAATGAGAGACCGTGGTATGGGACCAGCAGTCTCCCCCAAGTGTGAACTTACCCTCTCATATCATATTTGTTCTCATGAGAAGCGCCGACTTTATTTTTCTCATTATAGTCCAGGGGTTCGAAGCCATTCTCTTGAACAGAATGCATTCAATCACAATGGTTAAATGAAGGTGTCACATTTCGAGTTGTATGTTGCTGCTCTTTTTCACAAAATTGGTGTATTGCAATGGGTTTCATGAGAGCCTTCTTACCTGTAACATTTTTTTTCAAATGGCAGGCTTTATGATATTTATCATTAGCCCTTAAAATTTGACTTCAGCTTCCCCCATGGGTGGGGGTGGGGGGNCGGGGGGGGGGGGGGGGGGGGGGGGGGGGGTACATATATAGCAGTTCATTAGCTGTCTTGCTTCCCAGTATCTCTATCTTTCCGTCGTTGTCTCTAGAGCTGGATACCGAATCAGGTTGGTTTTCTCCATTTCCTGTAGGTTACATAGGTGGCATGTGGGTTGAGTTTATACTCCCAATCTGTGAAGGCG